TCCAAGAAACTGGAGTTAACAGCTTTTTTCACACTTTATTCATACCCTGAGTGGAAAATACTTGATTAAACAGGGTCCTCTTATTCTGACAGGAAGCACTGACATTCAGTGACGTGGTTGTGAAGTTCACTTGGGAAGAATGGGGGCTTCTGGACCCTGCTCAGAAGGCCCTGTACCGGGACGTGATGCTGGAGAACTACAGAAACCTGGTGTCCATCGGTGAGGACAGCTCTCCTGTCATGCACCTTTCCTCTCCCCGCTGCTGTGTCTGTGTGCTCTGAATTGGGAGATTCTCGATCTACTTCTGGCCCTAGATTAGTGGGTTATCATCTTTCAACTCCTAACAGAAAACCCTTTGCTTTGTACCTCTGAAAGTTTTCTTTTTCCATTTGTGCATTCATTTAAAAATGATCACCGTTCTGGTGTGTCTAAGATTGTCTGCTTTCCCACGAACAGGGTATCAACGTAAGACACCTCATACGCTCCCCAGGTTGGAAGGAGGTGAACAATCATGGATTAAGTTGCCTGAACACCACAGTGAAAACTTTCCAGGTGAGTGAGAGAGTAGCAGTGGGAGGAGAAGGCTTTGTACTTTTCACACAAGTAAAAGAAGGCATCACATATATAAGGATGTCTAAGGATTGAGGTTGTTAACAGTTACAGCTTGCTCAGATCCACACTCAACACTCTTGGCACAAGCAGTTAGTAAATCAAAAGACGAATTGCATTAGGTAAATCTGCTGTCAGGGACCTGTCCAGAGTGCTGAGAAGCAATAATATCAGTCTAGACACTAAGGTGTTTTTTGTTGTTTTTTTTTAACTTTTATTGTATTGTTTTTACGTGTACCATCAGATCAGATCTGACTGGTACAGGAGGAGATTGCCCCCTCCTTCTCCAGCAGAGCATCTGGTGGATTTGAACTGCATACCTCTGGGATTGCAATTCAGCATCTTGCCACTAGGCCACCAGAGCTCCCCAACACTAAGGTGTTTTGATCCAGTCCATAGTCTTTGCAATTACTTGCTATATATCAGAGAGCTGGACAATGACTTAAGGTTTATAGAAGAAAAATTGATGCCTTTGATTTGTGGTGCTGAAGAAGAGTCTTGGACATACCTTGGACCGCCAAGAGAACAAACAAGTCTCTCTTGGAGAGGGTGAAACCAACTTTCAACTTGGTGGCTATGATTTTGAAGTTCTTTCTCATATATTTTGGGCATGTGGCCAGTAGGGATTGATCCTTGGAGAAGGACATTATTCTCAGAAGGGTGGAGGGAGAACACAGGAGAGGAAGACCCCAGATGAGATGGATTGATACAGTGACTGGAGCGATGAGGTAGGTGTGCTAGAGTCAGTGAGACTGGCTCAGGACAGGGCAGGCTTCAGAGCTGTTGTGTATAGCGTCACTGTGAGTTGCAGGTGACTTAACGGCACATAATAACAACAAGAAGGATAAATCTAAAATACTTTTACATACCCCTCCTCCCTGTGAGACCTCTTTCTTTCTTTTTTTTTTTCAAATTATTTTTGTGTGCGCATACCGTCAAATCAGATCTGACTGGTACAGGAGGAGATTGTCCCTCCTTCCCCAGCAGAGCATCTGGTGGATTCAAACTGTGCGCCTCTAGGAGAGACCTCTTTCTTTCTAGGACTTAAGAGAAATACATACTCTTTTCCTTCTGAGGTCAGATCTTTTTATTTGTCTACATTGTTGTATTTTTGGTTTCATCATTTCATTCTTTCTAGGTTTGTAAATCTTCCCCTTCCTCTTATCCTTCCCCTCCCTTGCTATAAAATTCCACCCTCTGAATTCTCCGTCCTCCTTGTCCTGATGATTCAGCACTTTCTTCCACTCTTGAGGAGCATAGATTTCCCATCCTTGCATGCACCCCCAGAAGCCCAGGTGACTGAGTCCGTTACCCATCAGCCTGCCAACTCAAAATCAGCAGTTCAAAGCCTCCCGGTACTCCACAGACCAAAGAGGGGTTGTCCGTAAAGCTTTGCAGCCTCGGGAAACTAGTGAGGGTCTCATAAGTCGGAACCACATTCAGTGCAGTGAGTTCTAGTTGGACGTTGCAAATCTCACTGACTGTTGTGCCCCTGTAGCGCAGTGGTCTCTCCCTGTGCTGTCTGTCATCTCCTTCCTTAGCTTCTTTGTCCCCTACTCAGAGGTTCTCTAAAGGTTCAGATCCCAGTGAGAAAGGGCCTCGTGGTACCTAATTCCCCCCATGCTTTCATTTATCATCTATTTTTCCTAATGAACTTATTTTGTTTCATGTTGCAGACCGAGGGTCCCAAAGAATGGAATAATTTTATAATTATTAATAATATGGCAAACAGCCAGGAATGTGATAGAGCAGAGAGCATAAACCAGGGGGCCAGCAGTTCTCCACTGAAGACCCCAAGCCAAGCTTCTCTGTGTCTTTATTGAAAATTATCAGGAAGTAAATCACAAAGAGAATTCAATGCAAATGAAGCCAAGCTCTTTCTATTGAAAACCTTCTGCTTGACTCAGGAAGGAGGGGTTCACAAATGGAAGAATTTGGTTTACCCTTAACTATTAACCTTGATGCCTCAGGGTGAACTCTAGCTCAGGAAGTAGCACTCCCTCTGTAGGGGGCCCCTAGCTGTCTCCTGTCTGCAGGGAACAAACAGCTCATTTTTTAGGATCTGCCACAAGAGAAATCCTAACTTATAAACCTGTAATTCCTTCAATTCCTGAACAAGGGTTTTCATATAATATTTGGTATAAAGTTTGGCTTCCCATAGTTTCATTTTTTTAGAAAAAGAAAAATGTTGTGATTTGTGTTTTCATACTTGCTCTGCTTTGTCTTTAAATTTTTCTTCATGCCAATTAGTTTGTCTTGCCTGGTATTTACTTGTCTCTGTGTAAGGTTTCATGGAGTGAATGTATCGATTCTCAACCAGTTAAGATCAGGTGGACATACTACCTCTAATTGGTGTGTGTCATAAACTGACCTTTATGTTACATTCTTAGCAGGAAGCAATGGTGGCCTAGTGGGTAAAGAGTTGTGCTTGAAATCCCAAGGCAAGCAGTTCAAACACAGCTGGTGTTCACAGGCAAAGATGGACAGTCTGCTTCCATGTGACTCACCTCATGTGAAAGTCCAGCAGACGGTCAGCAGTGAGGCATTTCCAGCTGGATGCCAATGAGTCCTGTTTTAGAAACCATCAAACCTGTGTCCCTAAAAAAGCAAACACAATCCCAAAGGCGCATGGTTCGAATCCACCAGATGCTCTGCCGGGAAAAGGAGGGACAATCTCCTCCTGCACCAGTCAGATCTGATTTGATGGTACACGCACACAAAAATAATAATAATTAAAAAAAAAAAAGCAAACAAAGAAACAAAATCTGTGTTCCTGGGCCCATACATTTTCTTTTCTTTTTTTTTGTATTTGTTTTTTTTATTTTGGGTTTTTTTTGTCATACATTTTCTTATCTCATTCCTCCTCAGCCAAGCTCATGGCCATCAGCTGACTTCCAGTGTGTTTCTGAGGCTGTAAATCCCACTGGAAAATATTGCCCAAATTCCTCAGAACCGGAAGTAGCCTCAGATTGCAGAGCAACTTCCTCCAGCCCCCTTACTTATTCCTACACTTACTGCTTTTACCCCTTCGCATGTGTTTTTTCTAATCAGAGTACCACTAACAATTGGTGTAATGTTTTATTTTTTAACTCATATCTAACTATTAGATATCAGTTGTTTTAATTATTTTCCAATCAAACATTCTTCTAAGTGGTACAGCACTGGTCTGTCCTTTTGCTATACCGAGGTAACTCATGGTTGCTGTGATGCTAAACACTGTGACACTGATGTGTCAGATGCGAGAATGGATGGTGACCCATGGTGGACAGTGTTGGGTGGAGCTCCCTGATGCAAACAAGCTTGGAAGCAGGAGTGGCATCCACTTCCGAAATACGTTGCCTCCGGAAACTCTATGAACTTAGAAAAATGATGAAAGTCATGCATGTTCAGAATTTTCCTTTTTGAGTCTCTATGAGTTATCTGCGACTGGGTGGACCGTAACAGCAACAACAATTCTAACTATTGTTGTTACTTTGTGCCATCAAGCCGGAAGTGAGTCAGTCCTGATCCTTCAGTGGGTTTTCAGAGGCTGTTAGTCACATAAGAGGGAAATTGCTCATACTTAATACTGCAGAGCAGCTGGTAGATTTATATTCATGCCCCTGATAATTGCAACCCACCTTCCTACCACTAGGGTAAAAAACATACTCATTGACATTTCAAATTATGTCCCTTTCCTTTTCTTTTCTTCCTTCCCTCCCTCCCTTCCTTCTTTCCTCCCTCCCTCCCTCCTTCCCTTCCTTCCTTTCTTTCCTTTCTCCCTTCCTTCCACCCTCCCTCCCTCCCTTTTTTCCTTTTGTCCCTCTTAGTATTTGTCCTTTTGTGACTGACATATTTCACTCAGCATCATGTCCTCCAGGGTTATCCACTTAGCATAATAGTTCACAAGTTCCTTGTTTTTCAGTGCTACATTGTATTCCATTGTGTGACTGTACCAGAGCTTCTGTATCCATTCATTCTTTGATGGACACTTGGGTTGTTTCCAGCTCTTTGCTATTTTGAACAAAGCTGCAATAAACATGGATGTGCTTTTTTTTCCCCCCTGGCTCCATTGCAAATCTGCTAGTGGAAATTCATTATTGTCTTCTTTCCTAGAAGTCCAGAATGCTGGCGATCGCCCACTTGGCCTCTTGTCTAGTGAACGAAGATTATACTCTCTGGAGTTCTGCAGTAACCTTAATTCATTGAAAAGTACTGATCATCCCTACAGAACTCATTTTCATTACGTGGATTATCATGGTCTATTTGAGTTATGTGATAAAACTGTGAAATCAAATGTAACATTACCAGCAGTCCACCAGAGAAGCAGCTATCACATAAAGCACTCTGCTGAGCTTAACAGAGACAAGGAAACGTTGCACCTCAGTGACGGTGACCGACTTTGGAGTGACATGATTTTCCCTGAATGTCAGAAATCCCATAGCACTAAGGCCAAACTTCACAGCACTCAGGCATCTCAGAAAATAAGGAAATCCCACGTATGTGGTGACTGTGGGAAAAGCTTCACCAGGCAGTCTTCTCTTACTGAACATCAGCGAACTCACACTGGGGAGAAACCCTTTGTGTGCAGGGAGTGTGGGAAAGGCTTCACCAAGAAAAGTAACCTCACTCTTCACCAGCAAACTCACACTGGGGAGAAACCGTACGTGTGCAGGGAGTGTGGGAAAAGGTTTGTTACAAAGAGCAACCTCACTGTCCATCAGCAAACTCACACTGGAGAGAAACCGTATGTGTGCAGTGAGTGTGGGAAAGGGTTCACCAAGAAGAGTCACCTCACTGTCCACCAGCGAACTCACACTGGGGAGAAACCCTATGTATGTGGGGAGTGTGGGAAAGGTTTTATTACAAAGAGTAACCTCACTGTCCATCAGCAAAGTCAGTCCGGAGAGAAGCCGTATGTGTGTGGGGAGTGTGGAAAAAGTTTCAGGCAGAAGGGAGATTTGATTATTCATAAGCGCACTCATACTGGAGAGAAACCGTATAAATGCAGTGAATGTGGTAAAGATTTCATTCGGAAGTCCATACTCACCATCCATCAGCGCATTCACACTGGAGAGAAACCTTATATATGCAGGGAATGTGGGAAAGGCTTCATCAAAATGCACGGCCTTACGCTCCATCAGAGGACACACATGAGAGAGAAACCTTATCAGTGTGGTGAATGTGGGAAAGGATTCATCCAGAAAGCAAAGCTCACTATCCACCAGCAAACACATGCTGGAGAGAAGCCCCATACATGCTCTAAGTGTGGAAAAGGTTTCAGTCAGAAGGGAAATCTCACTTCTCATGAGCACACTCACAGTGAAGAGAAACGTTATATTGGCAGTGAATTTGGTATGGATTTCAGCCAAGACGTTATTCCTGATGCCACATAAGAGATTTCAGACAGATAAGACTTCTTCGTGTAGAGATGTAGACAATCTGATGATCAGAGTCAAGGCTCAGTAGATTTTCAGAAAGTTCACAGCTAAGACACCCTTTCAGTGCAGATTGCGTCAGAAAATCTTCAAGGTAAAGCAAGACCTTATTATGCATGAAATAACTCAGACAAGTGAGACATGTAGCTGCCAGGAGTGTGGACAGATTTTTTGCCTCTGTTTCTCCCATTCTTTCACATCAAAGAAAACACAAGAGAGAAATACATAGATTCTGTCCAAGAGGAGAACCCTTCCACAGGAAGTCTCACCTCACCACATAACCGTGCTGCCAGCAGGAAAAAAACCTTGTTAACACACTGACTGTGCAGATGCATCCAGATGCTGCCGTGACCTCGGTAAACATCAGTGGGCTACTAACAAACATATCCTTGAGAAGCCCTTGGAGGTAACAGAATTGATCCTGCACAGAAACCGTGAGCTATGAGAAGGAACTGT